GGGTTTTTTTTGTCCTCCAATGGTTCTTTGTTGACTTTTGTGATTCATGGGCTAAGGCCGATTGAATAAGTCTCCTGAAAAATGCCATAAAAAAAAAAGAGTGCGATAACAAGCCCAAAGTGGCAAAAATGACATGGGAAGAAAAAAAAATGAAAGAAAAAAATGTCAAAACTTTTGGATTGGGATGCGTGTTACTATGAAAAAAATGGTGAGCAAGTCCTCACAAATGGCATCATCCTCACACAGAGAGTCCTATTGTATAGCCCCACTTTTGTCCTTTCTCTCTCGCTCTCTATGCAGCACACTTTTTTAAACTTGTACCTCTGTGCATGTACTTATTGTAAACGAGATATCTCTTCTCAATGTCCTTTCCTCATGTTGGATGGAATTATTCTTAGATCAAGAGAAAAGTTCAAGAGTCGCTAAGTGATGAGATCTTCTTGACCGTGAACGGCAATACTGATTCCGAATGGGCCTTTGCTGTGTTTCTCAGCCAGCTGGAGACACCGTTACAGGCAGAGCCATTTAGTCATGCGGTCTTGAAGGCGGCAATACTCAAGACGATTGCCAAGATCAATGCGTGGACAAAGGAGGCCGGGGCGAAAGAAGCGTCGTTTTTTAACTTTGCAGTGACAGATGGTGTCTCAGTCGTGTGCACGCGTTACATCTCGTCACGGACGCTCGAGGCCGCAAGCTTATACTACTCCTCCGGAACTCGATTCGAGAGCTACAAGCTGGGTCATTATCGTATGGTCAAGGCTGACAAGCGTGAGGATATTGTCATCATTGCATCCGAGCCGCTGACATTTGAAAAGGCTGACTGGCTGACAATCCCGTCCAACACGGTCGTAGTCATCACATCCAAGATGAACGTGTTGATGTACCCGATCATGGACGAGTATTACAACCCGGACCCACTTGGCCGTACAACAGAGCAGCCCGTGGTAGCCGTTGTAAACGAGGGAGTGAAAGAAGATGGTACAAGAGACACTGAAAGTCGTGGCGTTGTATACGTTGGCGATGACTGGCTACTACCACCAAGTGCTGTCGATTCGACGTTTGTATCCTCACCACCTGGTGGCGACAGCAGCAGTGGTTCGTCTACACCAACCCTATCTTCATCCCGTTCCTCCAGTTTTGCAATGTCAGACACGTCGTTGAATACAATGTCAACATCTTTGTCATCAACGCTGTCCACATCCTTGTCCTCATCGTCATCATCATCGTCCACTGGGGTTGAGTACCTTGAACACCTTGGATACCAGCCACGGGAACGAAGTAATCGCGGGCTGATGCTTGGTTCACTCTCCAAGGAGTTTGATGATGTTGATGATTATTATTACATGAACCCTCAAGAAGAGAGCCGCTTTGGCCTCCATATCCGTTCAACGGCCAGCCAGCGCGTATAATCTTTTTTTTTTCTCCATGCGAAAATGGAAGAGCGAGTGAATGGAGAGAGAGAGAGTGGGAGCTCTCATTAATGGTCACGCTAGAAATTAAAGAAAGAAAAATCCAAAGCGAAACGTCTGTGCGTCGCCTGTGCTATTAAAGAATCGTAATCAAATATCCACTACAACTTTGAAGCGCGTTAAATATGAGCTTTAATAATTTTTCGGATGACACTTTTAAGAAAAAAGTGGATAGATAAGGTTTATATGACCGCCACGTACACGACGAGGAGGAATATGGGGCGTAACAATTAACCTGAGTTGACCGCGACTGGTCCTGGACGCGTCTTTTAGTGATATTTTTTTTGTTGTGTGCGATTTTTTAAGGAGATGGCGATTGTTCATTTGTCGTGCTTTGAGGTGAAATCTCACTTGATGATGATGTTGTTGTTGGCGTTGCTTTAGGATCTTTTGCGCATCTGTAATAATATAGATCTCGGTGCAATAAGCATTTGTACCCTTCCACACATTGAGCATGCTCTGTGCAGCCTTGACCGGGTTTAAAATCTCCAGCTTGAACGAGTCTCAGCATGATCAACAACACCGCAAGCAGCTGAATGAAAATCACTTGATTTTTAAGCATTGTGTCTGTGTGTGTGTGCGAGAGAGAGAGAGACTAATGAAGGATGTTGAGCAAATACGTCACGAACAGTTGGTTAGCTTTGTTAATCGAATAGCTTTACTACCTCACTCTTCACATCGTGAAAGACATTTTTCTTTACTCGTGGACTTACCAAGTGTGTGCAGCTGTGAAAGGTTGGAATGATGTGTAACTGTACAAAGTGGAGGGTCGTTGGAGGATACCTTGACAGTGAATATCTTCCTTTTATATTGTCAAGATGGTCGGAAAAAGAAACGAAGCAAAGTCATGCTATCAATAGACTTGCAAAAGACTAAACGACTCTTGTATGTTAGGGGGGATCCTGAGGGGAGATGGAAGGGCAAGGGGATGACGAGGGCTAAAAATTGAGGGGTTGGAAGGTTGGAATAGTCAAAGGATCAAGCAACACAGAACGACCAATGGGATCAAAAGGTAGGACGCGACGTGTAGAAGGAGAATAAGATCAAGGGGAGAAACGAACTGGAGAAAGATCAAGGCGGCGCGTCCGCAGCCAGGGGGATACAGGCAAAGAAGAAAAAAAAGGGATCAAAGAAAACTCAAGAGACCAAAAAATGATCTTGGCGCGTATTTAACAGAGTCGAGTGCTCTTAAAACGCGGTTTGTCTATATTCTTGTATATTTACATTTTCACATAATTTTCTACGGATATGCATTCTCTATTTCTCGTTCTCTCATATTACAGGCAACTTAAGAAAGGCGCTGTTCAGTACTGAGGCAACTTAATGACCATGCCTTCCAGCTCCGGCTTCATCTTGATCTGACAACCAAGACGGGAAGAATCTCTACGTCCAATCGCATACTCGAGCATATCCTCCTCCGCGTCTGTCATCGGTGCAAGTCTTGCCTTATATGGCTCTTCAATATAAACATGACAGGTTGCACATTCTATAATATATCACGCGGAGAGAAAGAGCACTGTTAGATACTTGTCTATGACTTTGTACTAAGAATGAAAACCAATAGGAAAACAGTAATGGCAGAAAGCGTTGCTTACCAAGTTCACCTCCACAGGTGCATTCCAGTGCTTGATAAACGCCGTGGCGGCTTGGGTCTTTATCCTTGACAATATCCAAGATGCGCTCTCCTTCCTTGGCCTCAATTTCAGTACGAACCTTTTGAAAGGTTTCAAAGATCACCTTGACCTTTCGTGGTGAATTTGCCTCCTCTGCTGAACCAGCAGCAGTAGTGGTCTCTGTCGTCGTGGCTGCGTTAGTGTTTAACTGTGATGGCAAAGCATCTCTGTTTGCCTCAATGGACACAGCATTCGGTTGTTCCTTCAGTCCGTCATCCTCGTACAATTCTTCTCCAGGAGCCGAGAACAAGGACTGAGCCTCTGCTTGTGCCTGCTTCTGCTGTCCATCCGCAGACTTTTGACGACGCTTTTCCAGGACTTGTTCATAAAGCTTTAATTGCTCCTCCTTGCTCATCCCGATCCGACCGCGCCACTTGTCAATCATCACAGGTTCTCTCACATTCGGCTCACGAACACCTGCAGCCATACCTCCATTCGCCAATGCATCAAACAGAATCTGCTGAGCATCTGAACTGTCCAGCACAGAGAGGTTGCCATGCCAGTCGCCTGAAGGGTACATGATCGTGTTGGGCGCATAGCGGTGACCGCCGATATGACTGACGCCGTATACCTTGACTGCCTGGGATAGACCCGTCATCCGGATCATGTCCCGCAGGATATTGTAAAATTCGCCACCTTGGTCCCCACACCGGCAATCACGAGAGCCATGAACACAGACAAGAACGGCGCTTGCTTCCGGAACAAGTTCAATAGTGACAACCTCTCCACTTCCAGGAACTAATTCAGTGTGGATCGAGGATGGATAGCCTTCTGAGTCAGCAGCGGCAGTCTCGAGCATAGGACGTAACGTGCCTACGGGGTACTTTTCCAAGTATCGATTCAAATCCTTGAAGGCCTCATACCGAACACCTTTGAACTTGATGTTGTCTGGGAACAAGATCAAGTCGTGGCGTGGACCTTTGGATGGGTGTAGTTCCACTGCAGCTGATCCTTTTGACGTATCTTTCGATGGAGCTGGCGTGGATGGTTCATCCGTTAGGTTGACATTCACACCTTGGCCACGAACAGAGGTAGAAAGCAAGTTCAGATAAGGATCTGATAGCTCTGGCTTTTTGACCCAGTCCTTGGCTGGGACGCCTGAGCAGATAAGGAGGTGACGCTTGTAGACGGGAGCCGAGCCTTGGATCGGATCCTCCTTCTCGGCTGGTGGTGGTGGTGGTGTAGTAGTCGCTGACATTGCACGGTAGTGACATGGCGATCGAATGAGGTATTGATTGGGAGATGCATGGCGAGTGATGTTGAGGCTCACCCTTGAAGCCTGCCAATTGGCAACAAGAGTTGATCGTCTAGTGGTGAATGACCTGATCGTTGAATCCAAAGTTGATCCTGCTCTTGCTCCATTATGGCTACGCCAAAGTGGACATGTGTGCGAAGCGATGGTCCTTGGTTGCCAAGCGAAATGTCTACCGGTCGCAAACGAGACTCTGCCTGTAACAGACATGATGGATTCCGAGCGTGGGGATGATTCGATGTAATGAGTTGTCAAAATGTGATTTGGGAAAGGATGTTTCTTCATATATATATTTTTTTTCCGTTGTCTTTGACGCAATAATTTCCTTTCTCGGAAGGAATGTGCGATATACTAGCACGCCCAATAGGAAAGTTGGTTTAAAGCGAGCTCGGAGTTGTGAAAAAAATACCGCAACCCAAGGCGCTACACACGACTACGCCGAACTACCACGAACTGTCTGACGCGTAAAAAAAAAAAAAAAAAAAAATCGTGCATAAATTCACACGCGCATAAACATACGGCTATTCACAGTCATTCCAAGCTCTTGACGGTGGGTGTAGCCCGTCCACCCGCTGCAGTCATTTTTTTTTGTTTAATAGCATTTATATCAGCTTGGCCGAGTGGTTATGGCGTGTGGTTTATGCCCACACGGGGAGAGATCCCTTCGCGGGTCCGAATCCTGCAGCTGATGATACATTCATGGAGAAATAGAAATAGATGGAGAGTGGGTATGACATGGATGGGTAGAGAGAGTGAAAAAAAAAGGCATCTGCGATATGAGCGATGCGGAGGAAATTTTTATCATTGTGCTTAGTGGCTTTTTTTCTGAAATATATGACCACTTCTTCATCATCATCAGTTCCGTGTGCGCGTGCATGCCGCTGACTATGAACTACCCATGATGTTAATGAGACAACACAGTCAGCTTGGCCGAATTGGTGAAGGCGTGTGACTTAAAATCATATGGGATCTAATCCTGTGCAGGTTCGAGCCCTGCAGCTGATATTCTTTTTCTGTTTTCCATTTCCACTTTGGTCCATAATAACACAGACTTCATGTCTCTTTGTTTTCTAATAGCCATTTCTCAACTATGTGCCTTAGCAAGCAAATGATGGTGGGTATAATTTTTTTCTTTTGAAGAGTTTGTTTGTATTGTTTTTTTTGTTGCAGTCAAGGATGCTTCTTTAAAAGTTCATAAACGTGTTACGACGCCAGAATGGATACCAGACCAAGGCAGAACAGAACACTCCAAGTGTGATAGCTGAGCTGCTGTTAATCATCGCCAGCACGAACGTAAAACCCTTGGCAGGGTCGCTGCCAATGATGGCCAAGATGCCTCTAACTCCGACAGACCCAGGCACAAGCAACAAAACACCACTCAGCATGGGTACGTAGCTCAGTTGACCCGTCAACCGTCCGTACAGCTGTCCTGTGACCCCGACCGCAAACGCTGCAATTGCCGACGTCACCTGAGGTCCACTCTGAAGGAAATAAGTGACAACAAAGCCAACAGCTGTAACGAGCGTCATACCGAACCACTGCCGCAGGTGTGCGTTGAAGACAATGTTGATACATGCCGAAACAGCTGGGTACACCAAAAAGTACCAGTAGTGGTTGATACCATGCGAACACGCCAACGTCGATGCCTCCGCATCGTCTCCCGAGAACTATTGTTTCGAAGGAGGAAAACAAAGATGAGGAGGGAAAATAAATCGTGTTTAGTATAGAACAACAACAAGAATACGAACCAAAAAAAAAAAAAAAAGGTAAATCAGTAAATCAGTCTTAAAAGCGTCATGGTTTTGACTTACATAAACCCAGAGCTCAGCGCCAAGGGACAACCCAAACCCTAGGAAAAAGGCATACATCAGGGCATAGAACATACGCACG